ATAAACATAACCTCTCAATTAGAACATTCTTTCACCCCAAAAAAGCAAGGATAAAGGCACAGGACAGCCGGCAGATGGGGCTCCTTGATTTCGTCGTTCTCATAACGGCTAGAAAACAATGGGGAACGCACTCTAGCGTCTAACGACGAAATACAGTACGTAATAAAGTTCCTCAACTCTCAGTTTAATTATTTATCATGATAAAATGGAAATTGGTAATCCCGCTGAATTCCGATGCAACATAACCTGATCACCCAATTGAAAAAAACAATATCTAAACTTTCATTACCTGAACTAAGATTGCTAAAAACATTTGTTTTACGTGGACATTTTTTCTTTTAAATTAAACGATTAGGTTATATTGCGTTGTCGCTCAGCAGAATTATCATCTTGTGAAGTTATCATACTATCCTATTCCTGTCTTCCATTCCACCACGATGAACGATTAAACTCAGAGTCGAGGAACTTTTGTTACATACTGTATAATCCACAGTGCTAATGTATAGCACAGTTGAGGGTCAGCAGATTGAAAAATCTGCGAACCGCGAGGCAAGAAACTTAAGAAATTCGAGAGGGAAAAGCGCACGATCCACGCGGAGGATCTAAAGTGGACTCTGACGATCTGTATATATCGGCAGATCGGTTACCTCAGCTGCGGTAGCAGCTGACAAACCTTCTGCTGTGGCAGCCTCGTCGTGAATATCCACCAGTAGATATTTTCTGTAGGACAGGTGCTTGCAATCTGCTCGCGCGACAGCCGGCGCTCGTGACGATTCTTGCGTAGCAACAAATCGAATCGAATTGATGTCTTATGTGTAAAGAAGATGTGGGTCATCTTTGTGGTTAATGTTTCTCGTTATTCATGAAAGGAGAGTTTTCATTTGAAGGAAAATCAATGTGTCGACCAAATTGGTCTTTATCGAGTGCCACGTGGGCCATCGGTGAGCCACGTTGGTCTTGCCGCTCAGGTCGTTTCGTAATTTAATACAAGAAGGAACATCGTGAAATGTTTCATAATATCGTTTAACTTATACATAATTATCGTGTACAGTGCAATCGTCGAAAAGATGACCCACGTGGCCCATGTTTCCAATTTTTTAGATAGCGTACTGCAATTGAAAAATAACATGTTCAATGAATGCGATAACGTGGGTTATCAGTGACCCTGAAAATAAATTTAGTTGTTGTACAGTTAGTGGAACCGATGTAGTGAGGTCCTAAATTAAAATTTCGAAATTTCAGCTTACACTTTTTTATTAAAGCTATGCAGCACTAAGCTTCCGTGGAATTAAGGTATAGATAAATTTTCTGAATATACCGCAACTTAATAAATTCCGAGTTGACATCAAACAGTCCTGAACGAGGCTGCAGCCCTTTACCACCCTCAAACTGCTGTTTCGTTGCTCGAATATACTCGTACTTCGACGATTGACTGATTTTACAAACTCGCTATATCGTTTCCACTGACCCGTTTTACGATCTTACCATATTTCTTCCACTGACTATACCCTTACAAAAATACACTGCCTTAGTTAAAATAAAACCGTGCACTGTTGAATTTTCAACAATGTAAAATCCATTAAACACTTGGTGACATTGAAACAGATGTCAGGACAACACTGTGACAGAGAAAAAAGGTTAGAAAGCATCGATATAAGACATCAGAATTAATAATTAATCAGCTACCAATTAGATGGAAATAATAATATCGAAGAGAAAGAGAGGCGAGAGGGAGAGAAAGAGAGAGGGAGAGAGAGTGGGAGAGAGAGAGGGTGAGAAAGGGGGAGAGAGAGAGGGTGAGAGAGTGAAAGAGAGGAGAGATAGAGAGAGAGAGAGAGAAAGAGAGAGAGAGAGTCAGTAAAGCGAAAGATTACGAAAGATCTAGTCCAGCTGTTGATTTCACGATCCCTGTAGACCGAGCGTTTCCCATACATAAATAACGCCTCGCCTACGCCCACCGTATTATATGGTCCCATTATATCGTATTATATCAACTACCCATTATCCGAACGATTCGAGGCGTTGCTTCATCTCGTCTCGGGATATCGACGATAGACATTAGGATCCAACGTGTATTTTCATTCGGATATCTGATAGATTTCTTTTATCGATTAAAAAAATATGAAAAAATAAGAAAAATTGGACATAAGGTACATATTTACCTTTAGTTTCCAGTTGCAATTTATTTTGTTCCGGAATTTACTTGGAAAAAGGAAAGAATTCTCTTTGCATTATCTTATTTATCTATTTGAACAGTTTAATTTTACCTTGAATCATTTTCTTATACATTTATATTTCTTTTGACAATATGTGTTTAATTGTTCCTTTTTAAATGGACCACCCTGTATAAAACAGTAAAGTAAGTAAGTAAGTAATAATAATAATAATAGTATAATATCGATAATAAGAAGAATAATGCCTAATATCGATAATAATAAATTCTGAGAAGAATAAATGAATTATTATGAATGATGATGATGATGAGGAATAGGCATTTCACTTTCACTATGTGAAACGATAGTCATAGTTGATTCTTTAAATCGATTTCGCTATTCGAAAGTAATTAACCTGTTGTACGTATTGTTTGCAAATCAGTGTTAACAATTAATAGTTACAGCAATAACACCGTAAGAATGCACATGCATGAGAGCAACATTTTTACGGACCTCGAAAGGTCCTCATAATATATCTTCAATTCTGGTTTCCCATTTTCTCAATTCAAACATACAATTGGTAAAACTGAAGTTGGCGCGAATTCGGAATTTATTTCCGTTACGATATTTAACAGACGTCGTTTGAAACTTAATTTGGACCAGAATAAATATTACGTTACCTGGTAGTTTCGAAAATTATGTCATATTTGATTCGTAGTAGACAGCATTTAATTGGATTTTGTTTTCCTGCTTAACCTGACGAAATTACTACAAAATTATTTTCACAAAAATTGATAATTCGAGGTTTCGAAGAAGTCGTATTCCCGTAAATGAAAATAAGTTCAGCTATTTCCATAGAGCATGAGATCGTTTAACTTTCCTGGAATTAACAATTAAAAAAAGCGTATAATAAAAAAATACCTGTCATACGTACTAGAATATTGCGAAATATCGGGAATGAATAATACCTGCGAACAAATTGGAACTATTCAAGCGTTAATGGAACGCATACCAGTAGCCGTATTTAGGACTATAAATCGGAATTTCTGTAATTATATAAAAGTACAATTTCATATTTACCTATCATGTGAAAACAAATGAAAATGACAACGTCCAATAATTTCTAGAAAATCGATAAAACAATAGCAATCAATTAACGAGGTATTCGATTACAATGTTAATGTAATTGTGAAAACACGGTGCGCACGAATGCTTACAATTGCTTTCCCACCGATCGACTAGAGATAGACACGAACGAGAACTCCATCTGTCGCACACCGTGTAAGGAACGATGTCTCGGAAAGCAGCAGAGCAAACAAGCCGGAAACGAGAACTTGAATTTGGCCCTTTTTCCCCGTGCATAGCACCGTGAACGATTGCATGAATTAACATTTTGATTCCAAGAGTCGTGGGGTCGTTTTAATTTATAATTAAGACCCCGGGTTAATTGCAGTCGAGCACGGACCAGCTCTGTACCTGCAATATCAAATAATTAATGATACTTCGTATTGCGCACCCGTCTATTGAACCAAGCTTCCAACGTGTTGAACTCTGCCTGTATTACACGTGTTTTCGATCGAATGATTCAGTCCTATCGACGATGTTCCAAGTTCAGATATACCGATAGTACTCGATACGTCTGTTTCTTGATATCTTCTTTATCGAAAAATAAATAGAAACAGTGTCACATGCAATTTATCGTTAATACATAAAATATTATCGTGAAAATATGAATTATATATTTAATTAATTTGCATTTATTTAAATGAGTAAAAACTGATACATGAGAGAAGTTTGAAATCTTGTTGGTGTTATGTCGATAGAAGCGAAACTCCGTCGGTCATACATGAATGACCGGACAATTTTTCGTTTGCGCTATGTCCGCCACCTGTAGTCCATTCGTCTATGTTCTCTTGATTGCTTTCTTTTAAGATAAATTATAATTTGGTAAGATATTTATTCAGTTAATGACGCTTAGAACAAATGTGAAACTGATAATATAACTGGTAAAAAATACATTACTACAGTTTGTTTCTTTTTTTATTATCATTATCTGGTTTTCTTAAAATCTTCCTTAGTGACAAGCAACGTGATGCCATTCATAGTACCGACGGAGTAAAAATGCCATTATCATATCAGTTACGGTTGAAATAAATGGAATATAATTAATTATTTATTTCAAGCAAGTACAAAAACAGTAATTGACATTTTAAGTGAAGAAAAGTACATTAATAAATCGTGACAACAAAATTAACGTAAAATATTTGATTTGATCTTTAAAGTTTCGATTTTATTTCAATTCTATTAAGTTAAAATAATATTGAACTTAATTTTTGAAAGTTATGGAATTTTCTTGCATCTTGCCTCTACCACTACAGTACAGAAATGCTAGCTCATACTGTGGAATATATGAGAAATATGTTATACTTAACTACATGATTGCTTTCCACGACCATATGTTGATTACAGCACAGACGAGATCAGCACTCGCCTGTGATTACAGAGAAACAAAGTTGCGCAAAGGGCTCCACCTTTGGATAACACTGACTTAGAAGAGCATTAACTACCGCACTGTACATACTATACATATGCAAATCTTTTTTTAATTTTTCAAATTTCATTTATTTCATACATGCTAATTTCATAATAATTACGAAATTCAATAAATCAAACTATGCTAGATAGACAAAAATCACATAATTTATTTTTAAATAGAAACAAAAACTATTTGTTTGAAAAATAAATCACTGCATCTATTCTAATGGAACATTCGATACTACGTGAATCTGTTGAGCACTCTTAACGTAGATATAAATGAGCAAAATCGTTTAATTAATTGGCATTTACCGTCTATAGAGTTTTGTTCTGAAATAGACTGATCGACAGTTGGCACCATTGTTTTGATGAAATTTGAATTAAAAATCATGAAAGGCTAGAAAATTTTATTATCAGTGCAACTTTGCGGGGAATCAATTTTATAAACACGTAGTACACCTTTGAGGACGTCATCCTCCTCTCACGAACGGTGGATATTTAAGGAAGTCATTCATCAAAATTGCGTTAGTATTAGTACAGTAGCGAAGATGCAAGAAGCGGATGTTCATGTGCGATACACTCGCAGAACGTCATCCGATCCGATCATTCGTATCGCCTGATTAAAATATTCGATAACCATTTCCCGCGACAAGTCTGCAACTAGTTCAAGAACAATGTCGACATTGTTGTTAGCTTTTTGAAGAAATTACGACATGATAGCGCTCACCAGAAATATTAGAATTCTTTTGAGCCGAAACGAGGAGTACCTGAATGAAATTGATACTTTTCTCACCCGTAAAAGTAATTACCTACGCTGATAGTATAATATATACGTCGAACTGACTGAAATTTATGATTTATCATGCCACGCAGTCGTTTAGACGCCGTTTACAGGAGTATTTTGCTCACAAAATTTTTTACGAAAGGTTGGGGTAGCCCACAGAATTTGAAGAGGTAAGAATAACCTAACCTTATTCCCGTTTAAAATAAACCTCAATATTTCATTTGTGTTCGAGAATGTTCGATAATGTTTAGAAGACGCATATTGAAATTTGAATGAACTTTATCGAGAAAGCATGCAAAATGATATTACATGCATGCAGTGATGGTATTTCATGGCTTAGATAAATAAAAGCTGCAACTTTGTAATTTATAAAAGAATAAATATTATTTAAAATATTTTTGTTATAGGATTTTCGAATTTAGGAGAATTCTTGCTAAAAGAGAAGCATGTTACGCCCTTATACCCCATGATTATCCAATTAACATAACCAAGGTAGAGTATAAACATTTTTTGATTATTTTTTAAAGGAATACAGCAGACTTATTCATAAACTTTAATTGTTTGTAAATAGGATGAAGAATGGTCAGACTGCCATGTAATAGAAGGCTGTTTTGATAGTCCATTTAACAAACATCTTCCTGGAATAATGCCTAATGAAACAATAACTGCACATTTTCAGCTAATTCTACCACGTAAATGGTATTCTCATAAAATGAAACCCATTTGTATACATCTTGCAGGTACAGGAGACCATGTAAGTAACTTGAACCTTAAATAAATTTCTATGTTAGTTATTTGAAAGATAAGAAACCAATCAAATATTTGATGTTAGTTTTTTTGGCGAAGAAGAAATCTAGTTGCCAAACCTCTACTAAAAGAGTCTGGAATTGCATCTTTATTACTAGAAAATCCATTTTATGGTTCAAGGAAACCACAGAATCAAATGTAAGAACTTGTATTCAGAAGGTTTGTAATTGTAAAGACATATACTATGGAGTGTGTTTGCATATATATTAGCATTAATATATTCTATAGACGTTCTAGCTTACATAATGTCTGTGACATCTTTATTATGGGAGGATGTTTAATAATGGAGTCTATTGTTTTACTAAATTGGTGTGAACAACAAGGTTTTGGACCTTTAGGACTGACAGGCTTATCCATGGGTGGACATGTTCGTATTTTTTATATTTAATGTTACTATTTGATCATTAGTAATGTATATTAATTTATAAATTTGTGTAGATGGCTTCTTTGGCAGCAACCAGTTGGCCAAAACCAATACCACTAGTACCTTGTCTTTCATGGTCAACAGCATCACCAGTATTCACTCAAGGAGTTATGAGCGCATCAATTAATTGGACGCTCTTAGAAAACCAATATTTTGCAAATGAATTATATCAAAACGATCTCGCCAAAATGGTGAGAATCGTTGGTGAGGAAGTTAGTATATAATCATTTCATAAATGAAAGAAAATTTGTTCAATACAATTGTAACATTATTATTTAATTAATTTATTTATAGGATGCGTTTTTGGCTGGACAACACTTTGCTCAACATTATCCTGCAAGTATGAAAAGAGTTCATGAATTAAAACAGAAGTCTGATGGTGCTACTAAAGAAGTAGGTACTATAACTGCTCCTGAAACTGTGATTAATAATAAAGAATGTCAAAACTGTGATGAAGACAATAATTTAAAAAATCAAACTGAAGATAGTAATTTAAAAGATCAAACTGAAGACAATAGTTTAAAAAATCAAATTGCTGAAGAAAAGGCAGCAAGGATATTTCCCCTAAAGCTTTTGTCTAGCAAATTTAAATTAAAAGATTCAAATGCACTTAAAGGCAGGTATTGTTTGCGTTACCTATAACATAATCCTAAAAGTCAGAAATTTGTTGATTTTGTTTTATGAAAGGTTGATGGTTTGACTAACTTTGGTTTAAATACAGTGAAAAATTTCCTCTTTTCTGCGGCACAAATTTTACTTAAACGTTTAATTAGAATAGTATCGTGATGTAACAAAAAAACTGCAAGAAGGTGAATTCTTGTTTTCGTCCTCATTAACATAAAATGAAATATGAAAGAAGGAGAAAATCTTAATAGTGATATTAATAATTTACTAATAAATATCTTGTAACCATAATTGTTTTCGATTCAGGGCTTTTAATACTAATTTTAAGGTGTGGTGTGATACAAGCATGATCATTCTGCATATTCCTTTGGCATTAGGTGTTTGTTTGTTACCAGTTCCAAGACACCCATTGTTCTCGGATTGCAAATGGCGCGAACGGGAGGCGCTACAGTTTATGTGTGGAATAATGGATGAATGTACACATTTAAAAAATTTCGAAGTACCTGTTGATACTGAGCTGATTATTGCTGTCTGCGCGAGAAATGATGCGTACGTGCCACGCGATGGCTGTATGAGCTTAGACAAAATCTGGCCAGGAGTTGAAATTCGATATATAGATGCTGGACATGTATCAGCGTATCTTCTTCATCAGAAAGTATTTAGGTATACAAATACCCTTTATATATTACAACTGTTTCAGCCAGTAAAAACAATCACATCTATATTTAATTTTCAGATCTACTATAGTAGAAGCATTTCACCGGACAATAAAGAAATATCCTTCACAGAACAGTTGATATATACAAAACTTTAGCGAAAGTCGAAATCAGTTAGAAAGATAGTACGAAAGGGTTTCTACAAGTGGTTATTTTTGGAATAGAATTTTGTGTGATATTATACGATATTATTAGACGAAAGTTCTATTCAACCCATTTTTTAGATATTTTACAATTTTTGCCACTTTCTATTTGAATGGTCTCGCAGACTAGAAATGCCAAAGGATAATACTACATGTAAACAAGTGCAATTCTTTGTACATAAAGTATATAAAATGTCATATTGTTATTATCATCATAATAAAAGAACTGCATAAGGAGGGTGTATTTTATGAGATACAACTGAATTATATTGTACTCTGTAAAAGACAATAAATCATTTTATTCTTTGTTTATCTGTCTATTATTTATATCATTGTATAACCCATAAATAATGTTATTCTCATTCATTGGTGAACATTTTTGGGAGACAATTTTTGTTCACTTGTAACATCCACTAACAGTTATGCTATAATACTCAAATATCTTAATATTGTTATTTATTTAAAATCTTTTTTACCAATTTAGTTTTACAAAATTCAAAGGAGAATAAATAAAATCCTTAAAATTTCAAATAATTTTTAAATATTAAAGAAAGGACTGTTTAAATTCGTTCAAATTGTGCGGGCATTATTAAATAGGAAGTGCACTAGCGCTATCTAGAGGAGTGACGATAGAATCGATTAAACCGGAAACTCCGTAGCCGCTCGCGTAAAGGCCAGGAGCAAGCGTTGGCCACATGTGTTTTGCAGACTGCTTTTCCGTGGAAAAAGATCGCCGAAAATGCCGTGTTTACGTAATCCGTGGTAACGTGACGTTGAAACAGTGCTCCTGAACTCGCTGCTGTTGTGACAAAATTTTTAGCCCGTGCACAAGCAAGCCGGGAAAGATCCACAAAATAAAGAGGAACGGTGAAGAAGAAAAATTACTTGTACTAACGAGGTGTACTCTGGTTGTCTGCTAGCTCCCCTTTTTGTACTTGGCACGTACGACGTATATCCGCGCTATTTCTCCACATTATTCATCTATAAAAAGGTAGATCCAACACATCGTTTAATTATTCATCTTGAGGCGTAGAAAAAAATTCGTGCCGGCTGATTTTCGTTGAACTTGTGAAATCGCCGAGTCAGCGTGTTCTTAACCACGCAACCGACCGCCTCGTGTACATCATATTGAAAGTTCGCATATTCGATCGATTCGTAACCATCAGTTTTATTCAGAGACTGTTTCTCTGTTCAGTCTCGAGGGAATTCTGACACGAGTGAAATAGGAAAAATACATAATCAGATATTCAGTAACGACCGCGTGTGTGCACGCCGCGCCTTCTGGAAAGAGCGATCCCTCGTGACGAGCCTCGAGTGGGCGTTCTCTTGCTCTGGCAAAACGAGTAACGGCTGGCTTTCTACGTTTTTCATTGAACCTCTGTTAAATCGAACGTATTCGTGCAATTAAGCACGAACTTCAAGGAGACATGCGTTCGGCTCACGGCATGGAGGATGTCCCTAGATTGGTGCTTTAAAGTCGAATCGACACACGAAACGTCTCAAATCTCCGGTAACGCAACGAGGCTGCTCGGGTAGATTAATGTGCCCGAGGGTGTTCAACGTTCCTCAGGACTCCTCGATTGCCTGAGAGGGAGCAACATCCTGTAAAAACTTTTCGAGCCAAATCCTCGTGTTCGGACCTCGTGTTTTGTCTTTCGGCGCGTACTATCCAAGATGGCGGCCAAGGTGGCCAGCGGCGCTCAGGGAAGTACCAAGAGAGAGGAAGGCCCTGGGGTCTCTTATGCAAGTATCTTAAATCCTAAAAGCGGAACAGAGAACCGGGTTGTGAATAAGGGTAACAATAAGGAAAATATCGGTGGTCAGGTTGCTCAACAACAATCAGTACCTGTTAAGGATCACATTGCTTCTCAGAGTCTTACAACTAAAGGGAAGTCTTATCAATGGACTGGAAGAAGATTCAATCCACAGAATAAGCTCGAAAAGCGTTATGGAAATGAGGTACCACCTGTTAGTGAACACAGTCACTCAGTTGCACAGAAGGAAGTTTCAATCGAGCAACATCAGGAGATCGTGCTTAAAGGTGAACAACTGAATGGCGATATTGGAAGCGATGGAGACTTTCAGACAGTAGCACCAAAGAGTGCTAGGAGGAAGGAGAAGTTGAGAGAACAGCAACGTGAGCTTAGAGAACGACATAGATATAGAGATCACAAACATCCTCTTCGTGGCCATACTGGAAGCAACGAGAGGCCATATAAGGAACGAGATCGTGGAGACAGAAGTGGTTTAGATCATGTTACAGCTAATAAGGATATTCCAAAAGACAAAGAAGAACTAGAGGCAGACATGGAACTTCATTCTCCACCTCCTGTTAAATATGTTGAAGCTCCTTTACCCACTGTTAATCCTTGGACCAAAAGTAAAATTGCTCCTGCAACACCACCTGTGAACTCCAATCCTGTTCTACCTCCTGCAAATGTAACATCTACTGAGAAACAAGCAGAGAAAGAGAAGAAAGTGCTTCAACCACAGCAGCAGCAGCAGCAGCAGCAACTGCAGCTGCAACAGGAACAACAGCAGCAACCACAGCAACTGCGACAGCAACAGCAGCAGCAGAAGCAAGGGATTGTTGGCAAGTATTGATTCTGATATTAGAATTGAAAACTTTCATGGATTTCAATTGTTTTATATAAGAAATTATGTTTCAATATTTCTTTGGTGCTTTCAAAAATACTTTCACTATAGCCTGTTTATTTTTTAATACATATTTTTACATACTTTGTCAATTTATGCAATAAATATTGCATATAAATGTAATGGTTTCCAAAAATGGGAAATTCTAATATTTATGTATCTCACTGTTACATATAGATATTGATTTCTAGACCTACTGAAACTTTTATAGTCACATTACCCACTTAAATATAAGTTAACATGAAAACTGATAAATTTTTACAAGTACTTTTGCCTTATGGTTTTTGTATCAAAATGGCCTTGTACTTTGTACGTATGATGAAATAAGTTCTTATCTAGTTTGAGTCAAACAACTTATTACATAATGGAAGAATTTTTAACATATTAGAATTTTATAAGAACTGCATAACATATGTAGAATGTTACACGCGACTTAATGTTGCATTGCAAGAAACTTTAAAAAGAGAAGAAAGAACATTTATTTAGTTAGTATTTAATTTCCGTGAAAAAGTGTAGAAACGAAAATATTTCGTAACGTTCGAACGTAAAAAAATGATTATGAACATCTAATTGTGAACACGAGGATTATATTACATGCAGAAAATTACATATTTCAGCGAAATGCAGACATCCTCTTGGAAAAAGTAAATAAATATATACATATGATTAATGTTAAACATTATTGTACACGATTAATTTTAAACAATTTCCTGCAAATGTTGCGAAATTGTAATTGTATAGAATATTTATAGCTGAAAACCACATTTATGAAACACATTTCTTTTTGCAGATTACGAATAGTTTCTAAGTTTCTAAAAGAGCGGAATTAATCAGAAAGTACACCGGTCTACGAACTGTGTGTGGAGGTCTGTATTAGGTGAGACATATTACGAAATTCGGAATACGAATGGAGACATCCGCCAAATTACAAAGAAAGGAATCTAAATTCAATGTACTATTTACATCTCACAAGTTATTAATTCTATAATTTATTTGAATATTTTGTATAATTTTTACATCTCGTTAGAAAATTCATACGTATCACAGAAATTATTTTTTAATACTTTTTTAAACGTATATAATTAAATGAAATAGATTAATCGTATACGTAATAAATGTTTAACAATTAAATAACAGTATAACATCTCGTCAGAATTTAGTTTTTACAAAAGTTGCAATTAGTTTCGTGTCTAACTGTTACGTAAGAATACATGTTCGTTTAAAAAAAAAAAAAAAAAAAAACCTGAACAGTTTTCGTTACATAATGCAACAGCTTTTACAAAGTCTATTCAGCTGTCATGTTATTTGGGGAGGAAACTGCATTTCGGTGTAAGAACGTGGCGTGTGGACGATATATCGGTAATTCAGGTGTTCGATCATGGTAACCGATAATATTAGGGAATTTCGAATGTCCGATCCGATCGTCTTATCTGGACATCATCGACGAATCTTTCGTACACGTGGCAAGGAAAACAACCATATTGGCAAATAAAACACAACACGCGTCACCGATAGTCTCTCTCTTCATTTGCATAACAAATTTTTGATCCCTTTCCTATGCTTCGTCAAACTTTCGACCACTTGGTCCAATTTTGCTGCAATATAGCAATACCTGAAATAGCAGCAATACGACACGGATTCAATACTGCCACCATTAAGAATCAATACGAATTGGTATGTTCCAGTTAATTTATTTAACGGTGGTACTATTCTGGTCACGTTATTTAAACTATCGGAACAAATGATTTAAAAATGTAATATTTAATTATTAAAAAATAATCGTACAGAATATTATTTAGATCAATGAGGCACGTCATACTAATAGAATTACCGAATGAAAAGTTAATTATAGTGCGTTGCGAAAGGGTAGAACATAAAATAGAGAGTAATTGAACTATCAATAGCTGTATGAAAGAAAAACGACGGTATCGCGCTATTGGTGATTAGTAAGTGGCTTAGAGAGAATGGTACAGGCAAGAAAAATGGTGTTTAGTAGTAAAAGCCTGTTGGAGGACACGTCAAGAAGGCTACTTAGCAAATTAGCAGTCTTGGAAATAGGGTAACCGGATAAAGATCGAACGTTCAGTAGTTGAGATACAAGCAGTATGGTTAGGATTATGAAAATAAATGCATGGTATGCTTAACCGATGTGCAATTAACTGGTTGTTACAGGTGTATGTATTTATTATTAAATGCAACAACATTTGTCGTATCACTTCGTTAAAATTTCACTTCTCATAATACGCAATGAAATATATGTATGCATATAGTTTCAGTAACCGT